GAGAAGGAAGAAGAACGAGAAGGAAGAAGAACGAGAAGGAAGAAGAAGAAGAACGAGAAGGAGGAGAAGAAGAAGGAAGAAGAAGAAGAACGAGAAGGAAGAAGAAGAAGGAGAAGGAAGAAAAAGGAGAAGCAAAAGGAAAAGGAAGAAGAAGAAGGAAGAGGAAGAAGAAGAAGAAGGAAAAGGAAGAAGAAGAAGAAGGAGGAGATGGAAGGAGAAGAAGAAGAAGAAGTCACTAACATACCACCCCTGTCTGCGCCCGTCACCTCTCATTCCCCATCTTTCATGCATTCCTAGAGGCGTACGATTGGGCAAAGGCCACCATTGCCTCCGGCGCCCAGCCCTGGTGCATCCGCAGCCACGCCTGGAGCGCCTCTTCATCGCGCGCCTCCAGCGCGCTGTCCAGCCAGGTTCGCGCCAGCAGATTCTGCAGACCACGCCCGGAGCCCAAGCGCCTAACATCCGCCGCGTTGTTCGTGTCCTCCCACGCATCGGGGTCCTGGCCAGTGCTGCTTTGGGACGAGAAAAACAACGATGGACTGGTGGTTCTGCCGCTGAAGGACCGCTCAAACAGGTGCGGTTGGCCCCCTGCTTCAGGAGTGCCAGCTGTTCAAGATGAGGACTTCGCATCGGGTCCGGGTATTTGATCGATTCTGTAGCACAAGTCCTTGAACACAATAGCTACAATGCGGGAAAGAGTGCGATTCAAGTTGGCGCAGCATAGCAATAATATTGGATCATGCAAATTTATTAAGATCTCCAGACAATGACAGCACCAGCCGGAACAATCTCCGTGGCCACTGGAATTTCCTTGCCTCATAGGACTTGGCAAAGAGCAGATTCGCCTCCTCGTAGCGCTTCTGTGCGAAGCACAGCAAAGCATCCTGCGGTCGGGTCGACAACGAGCCAGAACTTGGCAGCCCTTCTCTGCCCGGTCTGGAGGCTTTCCAGACCTCAGAACTTCTCAGTACCAGATCGCCCACCCTCCTGACCATCCCCATCCTGGAAGAGCACCACCGCGCGCCCCGTGGGCGCGGCAAAGGCCCAGGCGCCGTGGCAGAGCAGCGCCAGGACGCCGCGGCACAGACCCACGTCGCGCAGGCGCAAGGCGCTCGAGAGCAACGGCACGAGGTTCTGGTCCAAGGCTTCCACGGCCTGAGAACGTCTTGGAGTGTTGGGGTGTTTGTCTACTAAAGTCTACTAGACCATACATGCTGACTCAGGGGCAGCATGTGCCGCTGAAAGACTCAGTCCCTGGGATGTCTGGTGCAAATTCCTGTGACACCGGATCCTGAGAAGATCCATGAGAGTCCTGGGCCCACTTCTTTCACCCATGCAAAGCCGAGCTCTTTCAGTGGGCCAACGGCACCAAAGGGAATATCTTTAAATTTTATAGTTACCTCAATAGCGCCTAGTGCCTAGTGTATATATTATTTTATATAGATCTTTGACTAGTGCCTAGTGTACTTCAATGTCTTTTTGTCTGTCTCCCTCTCTCTCTCTCTCTTTCCAATTTTCCACTCTTGGGCAGCTTACCTCATCCACTATCATCCACCCATCACCTTCCTGCGCCTTGTGCGATGGTAAGCTGTTCTTGGGATCTGTCAGGATCGTCACCCGCTGCGTTCCTCCGGAACGGCGCGGCTCCAGCTGCTCCAGCGCCGGCATCAGCGCGCGCGCGTCGCGCGTGTCGCCCGCGGACGGTGCTGGCCAGACCGTGGAGAGGATCAGCTCGCGGCGCAGGCCCGGGGCACCCTGGCAGGTTACGAAAGCTTCCGCCGAGAGGGGGAGTGATGAAGCGGAAGGGGGCTTGTAGGAGGCGAAAAGGAACACTGAGGTGAAATCATGATACAGCCAATTCTTGTGACACACAGGTTGAGTCCCATAGTCCATAGTTCGAACAACCTTCCTCAAGAACTTTTTAGAACACTATCCACAATAATCCACCAAAAATATCTAGTTATATACAGTAATTGTTTGGGTTTTTGGATTGAAGAGGCCTCCACATGTTCGCACGTCATCTTCCCACTCACTTGTCTCTCACTTGTCTCTCAGCAGGCCTCTGCCTTCCTCCGAGTGAGCACTTGCAAGGCGTGCTCCGACAAGGGCAAGGGTTCGGTGCTGCTCAGGTGGCTGAGAGCATCGACCAAGCGGGCCTTGCAGGGGATTTGGGTGGCCCACTGGTCGGGTCGCCCCCACGAACGCCCGCGAAGGTGGAGCCCTGCCAGAATCGAAGGAGCACCTTCATCGAGAGACCTTCGACCTGCGACCTGCACAGAAGGTCGCCACAGGGGATCCCCTGCACCCTGCTTCCAAAACCCACCTGCTCGTCACGGAATATGGAGCAAACACCTCGCCTTCGTTTCAGGCTCCTGCCCACTCTGCCCACGGCTCACGCCCGCCGCGCCTGCGTGAGGGAATAGGTCGCCGCGTGCGAGCCGTAGCGCGCCAAGGTGTGCTGCAGCAGTCCACGCATCCGGTGGAACCAATCGGCGCAGACCTTTCGGTTGGCCTCGAAGAACTGCTTCGAAACGCCTCGTAGGTCGGTCGGGTCGAACGACGCGAGCTACCCGGGCGGAGGGATGGAAGTGAGATGCTGGAGCTGATGGAAGTGGGATGGAAGTGGAAAAAGACGGCTCTTCCTTTGCAAAGAGGTTGTTCTCTGCTTCCATGGTCGGTGAGTTGGAGTGTGGGAGAAGAACTGCAGAACTCTCGTTCTTCCAAACAAGGGCTCGGCTTCGCCAAAGCTCCGGGTGGGTGGATGGTGGTGGCTTTCAAATATGACATGTATATAAGTAGGTACAAAAACCATCATTAGCATCCTTCCCATGTGTGATCAATCCAAATTCCATCACGCCGCAGCAGCTCGCTTGGACCTACATGCAAGCCCTTGACCTAACTCTGCGTCATGGCACAGCATCTGCCCGAAGAAGATTGAATTGGTTGCTTCATACCTGGAACACCCTTCGACTTGGATTGGCTCTGTGCATCTCCAAACGCCTGTTCTTTCATCAATGTGTTCTATTGCTAAAAATGCAACATGAGTAGGTATATATATATAATATATATGTACACATGCACACACAGTACATCTCTTTCAGAGCTTCTTAGGCCAGGCGCGTCCAGTCCGATCGGGAACCTCTGGTTTGAAGACCACCGGCTCCTGCGCCAGTAGAATCAGCTGCTCCAGCGCGAAGACCACTTGAACACAGGCCAAAGGGCAGAAACCTGAAACGCCGCGGGTTTCAAAATGATCAAGGTCCAAACCACCCGCCCCCTACCCCCACTATGTCACGATGCCTTCTTAGCGGTGATGATTTGAAGGTTCATGCCCACAAAAGGTCTAGATGGGAACGTGCTCCGACGATCCCAGTGGCGCGGTGGCACATATGCGCCACGTTCTCCACCTGTGAAGTAGCAGTAGCATCCACTGCGGGGTGGGTTCAGTGGTCTACCCAGCCATCACGTTGCACCCCTCCTGCCTCGAAGAGATCCATCCACAGCCCCCCCCCGGGAAGCCCGCCAGGCAATCCCGGAGCAGTTTCACGGAACGGCGGGAGCGATGTGGTGGTCTAAAAGCCCTAGGATTGCAACAGCCACGTCTTTAATGGTCTCTACCCGGACAACCACAAGTCTGACTGGGGATTTTACACAATAAAACCAGGTCAACATTTTGTTTGATGGTCGTGGAAGGCTAGGTCTAGGAAAACCTTTCTTGATAGAAGTGCCCACAACAAAAAGGGACAAGAACCCTCCATCCTACAAAAATGGAAGTTGAACATGGGGAAGTTGATGTTCCTCTACTCACAGGTGTTTCCACTTCCATGATTGTTGAAGGGAGGGTGAATCAAGTGGAAAAAAGTATGGCACTCTCTCTCTCTCTCTCTGCCAGCTGCATGCTCCTTTTTCTTCCACCTGCGTTGGATATATATATATATATATATAATGTAATAAATGACCATGACGATTGAAGATCTTGGCAACCTTTCAAGTCCTCCAAACTGTACTCTATATCTATATTCTATTGTAGGTATACGTGCATATATACAGCAACCCAAGGTAAGCACCAGTAGCAGCGAAAGGGCACTCACGTCATGCCCTCTAAAACTTCAACCATTCACATCCAATGCCCCAACCCTGAATCATCATAGACCGGGCGGGCTCGAGCAGACGCTTGGTCTAATGGCGCGCTCGTCTCGGCTGTTCGTCATGCGGGTCACTCGAGGAAAACAGGTCGCTTCTTCTTATTGCAAATCGGTCGCCAAGGAGGAGCGGTTGAGACATTGTGCACCAGCTTCTTCACTACGTGACCTTTTGAGGGCTTTTGAAGTGGTTGCAGACAATCCCCTTAATGGTGGTCCCACAATACAAAGAAGTGGTTTCCAACACTTTTGAGTTCAATTTGAGTGGGGATCTACTTGTTCTATCTATTTTGGGGGTCTATAATATAGAGGTTTCCATCATCTCAACGGCCGGGGACGGTTCGAGATGATTACCACGGGATCACCCATCGGAGGTGCGGAGGATCACCGAGCAGCTCCCGTCAATGATGCTGGCATCCAAGGCCGCTCCCTGCTTCGAGAGGCTCGCCGCGACCTTTTGAGCCACCTGGTCCGACGGCACGGAGGGCGCGAGGGGCACGGATCAAGGAGGCAGTTTTTTGCGAACAAAACCATCTGTTCGTAGACCTCTGCCCAGCTCAAAATCAAAGGTCGGACGCGCGGCCAGGTCACCTAGGCTCCCCACCTTGCTCGAGGACTCGATCATCATCGTCTCCAGCATCTGCAGGCCTCGAAGAGGCACACGGCACGACTGGTTTGGCGCCTTGCCCCTCCAGTGTCCAAGACTTTCCCCGGCAGAAGGGTGGCCGGGTGACGCAGGTGCGAAGAGTGCTCGATGTTTTCTCGAGATGGTCAAGGTGAGTCAGGTTCTAGTGTTTCTCGTTCAGGCAGTGCTCCTTCTTTCAAAAGCTCCCAAGTCTCAAGAAAGGTGTCTTCTGTTTCACCACGATCAAAGGTCATGTGGCGGTATGTGGCGGTCACCAATGGTGAAGTTCCATGAAACTTCGGCATAAGACCCACGTCATGAGCCCAAAGAACTCGAACAATGGTGCCCCTTGTAGGAGAAGCAGGAGGAGGAGGAGGAGTGAAAGAGAACTTGGAAATGGGTTCCGCCAAGCGTTTCACTTCTTGTTCAGCTTCCAACCCCCCTTAGACCGAGTCGACCAACATTTTCGCCCAACATTTTCGCCCAGATTCCAAACCCGGAACTAGGACCGCGAGCTGTCATAACAAATGTCTAGGCCCGCAACATTGCAGGGAGCTGAAAGGCCCGGCCCATCATGTCGTGGCCAAGTGGGGAAAATGGACCAAGCTCGGGCCCTAAGGCTTTCAACAAACATGTCCAGACACGCCCTCATCTGCAGCTGCGCAGCTCGAGGACGCCGAGCCGAAGGGCGACTTCAGGCGGTGCGAGACGAAGAACGCCGCAGCCAGCAACAGCAGCCAGAGGGTCTTCAGGTTGTTGGGGACTCCTGGCTGGCCGAACAGTCTCCAAACGGCCTCCCTAAATCCCTTCAGAAGAAAGGATTGATTGGCCTCCAACCTCTTGAAATGTTCCGAGGAGTCTCACAAGAACACGCTGAAGATGCATCACGAGGCTGGGGCAGCACGGGGCTGTCATATGGGCGTATGAAATCCCAGTATATATCCCAGTTCAATCTACCCAGCCAGGGCCAGGGGGTCTTCCTATTAAAGATTACACATCCATGTGGAGAAGAGTGCTGTTGTTTCTGGTGTCGTGCTTGCCCAGCACTGAAGGAAGGAAGAGGGGTATAGAATCATTGTCTGGCTTGAGCAAAAGAATTTGCTTGTGATGTCACATGGCCAGCACAGTCCCACAGATTCTCTCAAGGGTCGACGTCATCCAGCATTCCTAGAGGGGTTGAGAGTGCTCCAAAGCTGGCACACACCAAGAATCAAGTAAAAGTTCTGGAGCATTCTGAAAATATGTGCAATGACTGGGACTTCTGTCCCAAAAGTAACTTAGTGCGACCGCGACCTGATCAAAAATAAACATGCTTGGGATTGGTTTGATGGGTTTGTTGCGGAAGGCCTAGGGCGCCGCAAGAGTTGGGCCTGGCCAATCCTTACAAACACCCTCTTCTGCCCGCAAAGCGTCACTCACAGACACGGCCGAGTCCCTTGCAAGGTTTGTCGGAGCTATAGGTTCCCCAAAGATCTCACCACCTTCCCACGCCAAGACCCACCTAAGCAGAAAAAAAGGCACCCAAAAGAAAACGCCTCCCCATCTGTCTGCCCACCTCACCTCACACCTCACCTCACACCTCACCTCGCCCTGCCTGGCGCCCGCCAAAGCATGGAGGACAAGTACTCTCGAAAGTCCCGGTGTTGCGTCCCGTCGCCCGGGCTCAAGGTGCCTCGGGCCCGGAGGACCGCTGGAGGACGGGTCCGAACCACGAGGCGAAAAGCTCAGAAAGTCTGAACGACCTGGAAGACACCGGCGACCAGATTCGCCCCGTCCTCGCCAACGAAGCACAGTCTACCTAGCTTTGCTAGCTAGAGATGTGGATCAACCATGAAACCTCCCCCCCTGTCGAGATCAAATAGAACATCCATAGGCTGATGAAGTGGGAAATCGAACCCATCGAGCTGACCCAGACGTTGGGGGAACACCTTGCCTGAAATCAGTGTGACGGAGCCACGGGTCGGTTGAATGAGCTGAAATGTTGCATAGCTCTTGCAGTTCAGGTTGATGATCGCAGTCTTGATACTCCATCTAGACCAATCATCTATCTACAGCGCTCATTGAGTCTAACATCCTACCCCCACTCCAACTATTGCCACGCCACGGAGGGCTGTCAACAGGCTGCCCAGGGATTCACTGCTGAGTTCGGAGCTGGTCACCAGCAAGCTTCGCAACACGCCACTGGGCGCCACCAGCGCCTCGCCCAGGTCCAGCCGTGCAGCCGCCAGCTTCGCCCAGAGCTTCTGGCGCCCCCGCGCTGCTGCCTCGCCGGGGCACAGTGGGTCCATCAGCTGCCCAAAGCAACTCCGCAGCAGGCGCCCGAAGCGCGGCTCGTCGCGCCAGAGCGCCAGCGCGCACTCGGCCAGCGCCTGGGGATCCGCCGTTTGGAAGGTCGGCTCCCAGAGCTTCAGGCGCCCACCGAAGCAATGCCAGAAGGTACCAGGCACCGAAGAGAAGGACTGCAGCAGACGAAGGCCCTTCGAGTGCGGACGCGCTGCCACGAGATGCGAGACCTCCTCCGCAATCCACTCCACCAGCGCTTCGTCGTCCAGGAGCCGCAGCAGCTTTGCCGCCAGGAGCATCTCGCTCTGACCGTCCGTCTGCCGGCTGGCCGCCAAGATGGGGCGCAGGCTCTCGGAGAGGACCTGCTGCTGCTTGGGCTCCAGGACCCCTGAGTAGTGCTGTAGAAGCTGCAAGTTGGCCACTCCGGCGTGCAAACACTCGGTGTCCGAGACCGGCACGAGCTCCTGGAACGGTTCGCAAGGCGGCGGGGCTGTCCATCTTGAGACCACAAAAAGAATCCGCCTGAACCGGGGACCCAAGTTGACAGAAGTAGCTGTCCCTCCCATTCTCTTCAGCCTCCTGGTCCTAGGTTGGTTGGGAACATCTCAGTCCGCAAAGCCAAACCTCCCCCGGGACTTGCCAGGTCTAATCTCCTGCAACTCCTCCAAGACTTTCTCCAGGCAAGCCGCCTGAAGCACCTCGCAGGTGTGAACTCAGCACAAGCAATCAAAGGATCTGAATATGCTGCTCCATGGATGGTCCTCATGGTCGTCCCTCTTCAGATTTTTCGGGTGTTTCACCGGACCGACTTCGTACTGGAGAGTGACTACTGGTGAGTGAACCCGTCCTGTCCACGTTCGTCTCGCTTTGGAGTCGTGGAGTGTTGCAGGCCCAACACATCACCCATTCTCAAACCAAGGCATCCACCGCACCCGCAGCTGCACGACCTACCGCGCGACGAACTCCCGCGCACCTCCCCGCAGGAGTGGTTCAGCATGGCTTCCCAGGTGGCTTCGCAGAGCTGTCGGAGCCCCACGTCGCTCAAGGCCTTGAGCTCTCGGAAGGTCCCACTCTGCAGCACCTGCCGAGCGCTCGCGAGCGCCTCGCGGACGAACACGACCCATCCTGCATCGAAGAAATGATGGATGACGATCCGCTCGAGGGAGCAGAAGCTGGATATGGGTGTTCAAGTAGGACAGACCTCCCAGGCACCCCCCTGGAAGAAGGAATTTAGACCAGTCAGTCTATCCGGTAGGGGGTCCTCCTAAAATACGGACCTCCTTGGGGCCTCACAGCTCCGAACCAGGGGCAGTCGGAGTGGTGTAGGCGGCCCCCGAACAAGGTCCGCCTCCAGCGCCGCCATCGCGGAGGAGGGCGAGGGCGATGGCTCGGCGCCGAGGGCTCGGAGGGCGGCCAAGTGCACGGAGGTGCACCTGGGCGGGGGGCCAGCGCGCCCACGAGGTCGGCCGGGCTGAGATTCCGTCGGGAGGGCACCTCTTAAAACACGCAAGATGAATGAACATCTGAAGAGATGTGGTGCAACAGACTTGAGATGCCCCACGAGTCACAAATGAACTGTAAACTGTAAGCAGAAAATCCGAAGGTGATTGTCTTGCCGATGGGTTTACTTACCACTCTTTGTGACCCTCTTCCAAGGCACCGAGGGGAGTCCCGGTGAACCCCCGGTGGGGATTCGGACAATGGTCGAAACCACCGGCTAGTCAAAAGCGCTGACCTAGCAGCTAGGTGTGTAGATTCATGACATAAAGTGAGACTTTGCGTGAACAGCTTTGGCCCACAGGTCCTTTCTTCACTAAAGGCCATGAGTTTGCATGGGCAAGGTGAGCTGAAAGCAGGACAAGAAAGCAACATCAACATTTGTACCACACCAAACTCATGCCCTCAAACACACATCTCATTCTTGAGAGCCCAATGACCGAAGAAGCGTCTCAATTGTCTGCAGGATTGCAATTTGAATCTCATTGGGGCCCATTTGTTGGGAAAAAAAACATGTACCTCTCCTCTCCACTACGGGTAGCCCCACGCAACGATCCTGCAGCTACCTTGATTGGTGGTGAAGCCCCATTCAGCCACAGGCCTATAATTACTGGCTTCATCTGATCTTGGCCTGGGTCATCACTGCATGGAGGCAGCGCAGGTCCATTCTTCCCTGCTCCCACATCTTGCCCCCGTGACCCATCTCTCACGACAACACGGTCCAGATCGCACTCATTGCCGAGTCGCAGCCGGATATGGCACATCCCCCGTGAGATGAGGGAAATGGAACGCTGTGTCCATGCGGACCGCTGACAGAAACGGCTCTGGCCATCGGACGCAAAAAGCCCACTGAGCTGCGCTGCCTGATCGATGCATCGGAGCAGTAGGGGAGCCACTTCTGCATAGTGAGCACCCAGGTTCCTCAGATCGGCGTTCACCAAAGGCTCGCGATCCAAGGAACCCAAAAAGGGCGACCAAACAGCTCACAATTCATCAGCCTGGGTGATGGCCGCCTTGGTCACTCCATCTTCAGGCCAAGACTCCCCATAGCCTTTGAGAGGCCGTAAAAACTGAAGACTAAGGCATGCAGCTTCTCATGCTCGCCAGCGCTCTGCAATTCGGCCAGCACCTGTGCACGTGCTCGGTGTGCACGTGCTCGGTGTGACATCCAAAGCTTCGACCGGAAATCTGAGCGGATGAAGTTTGTCCAACAACTTCTTGCAAACGTACACAGCCCAGTGGCCCGTGGCAAGACTGTATACATCCAGTCCACGTTCCATCTCGCTCCGTCCAACCCATCGAACTCACGCCCCCCCGGACGCAAGAACGACAGGGAGGATGTCCAGGGCAAGATGCCCAAGCAACTTGGGCAGGACACATCCGACTTGAAATGCCATACACTGGTCATTGCACTGATACGGATGAAAAATACGGATCGCCCACCTGAAGCTGGCGCGCTCTCACGGATGGGCCTGAATTGGGGAAACCTCCCCCTACTTCCCCCACCATTTCCCTCCTTGCTCGGCTCCAACGCCCTTCCTCCCCCCCACCTGTTGGTGCAGCGCCGCCGAGAAGTCCGTGTGGCGCTCCTGGACGATCGAACGAACTCGACCGACCGCCAAGCGGTGACCTTCATTGGATCCCAAGAGAGGCTGAACAGCCTTAGAGGCATCTGATAGCCCATCCCATATGTACCACTATATACAGGGTTCGAACGTTCAGGTCTCTCAACCTCTCTTGGATCCTCAACAGGAATGAGATCGCTTCTGGTAGGGCCCCCTTTTTAGAGGTCACGGTTTTAGGTCACGAAAACCGAAAAATGGAAGAAGTCCCAGTAGACCAGTAAAGCATGAAACACTCCCGAAAACTAACATGGACCCTGAGAATGGAACCCGGAAAGGCTGCTTTCCTCTAGACTCTATCCAAACCAGTGGTTTTCAGGTTCCATGTCAATGTGCCAGTGCGTAGGAGCCGTAGATAGCAGTTTCTGCGCTTCTTTCTTGAACCAAACGTCGATCTCCCACTGTTTTTGGCAAATCAGAGTGGATCTGTGATGTGTTCAACCTGGGAGTGCCTCTGGTCTTGTGGGGGTTCAAGGTCACAGGCAGGCAGCTCATTGGGGAGTTGGGCTTGAGGGGGGAGTGTTACACGACAATCAACAAATGCATCAGGCTTCGGCAAGCACGGTTCGGCAAGCACTGCAAGCACCACACTTCTGATCAATACAAGACCTGGAGTTTCTCAGCTCTTCGAATGGAAGCCTTGATCCCGTTGTCCAGGTGAGCCGCGCGCAGCGGGCTGTGCCGAACATGAGCGACCGTACGGCGACCGAGGCACCTGATGCCACTGAGCACTGAAGGCGGCAAAAGCCGTGTTGAGAATGGCACGGCAGTCATCGGACAGTCCTGGAGCCCACAGAACTCGAAGAAACCGAAACCCAACAGATCCCCGGACAGAACTCAAATCCTTTAAAAAACACTGGAACGGAGGAAAGTGAACCCGAAACAATTCCAAGTGAAACGTAGGCCCCCAGGAAGACCATGTTCATCTACTTCCGGGCGTTCTGGTGAATTTCCATCGCCTTGATAGCTCTTTTCTCCCAGAGCTTCCCCCACAAACGCATTTGGGCCCAGAAGCATCACGGTTGATTGGTGGTATCATGCCACACGGCAAACATGTCCCTTTTTCAGGCACTTTGGAGAAAGAAGAAAAAAGAAAGAGGTCCATGCCTATACTGCCATTAAAGAGGGGAAAAAAATCAAAGCTGCTTTTCTCATCCCATCTTCAACCAGGCCGGACCCCATGTCAACACTGATACTGCTACCGCCCCCGCTCGGTCCTGGGCGGACGGCCCAGTCATAGAGCAACTGCACCGACGCCTGTCGGAGCCGGCGACGGCGCCGGCGACGGAGAAGGCCACCGTTGCCCCCCCCCCAACACCGATGCGCATGAGACTGATTCATGCACCACATGCAGACTTCGGAACCCACCACTGCGGCCTGTTGTTTCTGTGTGTTTCGCCGCGGAAAGCCACATCAACCCCAACTGGAGTTTGTCCCACTCGGTATATGTCCCCTTTTTTCTTGCGCGGATCACTCTGAAGGCAATTACATTGCATGCAGAACAAAGAATCTCACTCGCCCATGTTGGGGGGGTGCTGTTGGCTGTTGAACTTCTGCCTCTTCCAAACTCAATCAATCTTGAGTATAATGATGCGCTGAAGCTGCTACGAGGCAAATCTACTGTAGGTACAAATGAACCGACCACTCCAAGTTGGTCATTTTCACCATCACGTCTCAAGGCTCACAAACGGCGGAAGGCGGACGAATGGTGCCTACTTTCTGCCCATTGGGCAGGCTACAAAAACACAGGGTCTGCTTGCCGGTCATGTGTTCTTGCCGAACACATTCACAACGCCCTCGCAGGAATCCGCACCTCCAGGAAACCTTCTGGTTGAGTCTTTAGCTGGCCTATATTATATAACTTGCTTGAAGCTCTCCAACATCCTCGAATCCTCGATCCTTCTCCAGCAGCCACCTCATCCATCCGGCTCGTCCCGCCAGCTCGTCGCCTGAAAGGTGTCGCTGAACTCCTGCGGCGCCCGTTCCGCTGCCAGGGCCAACGGGGGCACCACCTCGTGCAGCATCCGCTGGTGCTGCGTCTGCTCCAGGACCTCCCAAGTCCACAGGGTTCATCAGGGGGAAGCTACACTAGCGCCAGAGGGGTGGGGAAGTTTAGGAGCTACAGTAAATGGTCACCAGGTGATGTGCTTGCACTCTCAACTTATATGTGTGTTTGGCTTGGTGGGAATTGATGTTGGGCCGTGGCGTCTCGTCATTAAGTTGATATTTGTCTTCGTTTGCTTTGGAGTTCACTAGCCATGGTTAGGGACACTAGCTCAAAAGCCGAGGTCAACATTCATGATGTGCAACATGCCCACATCACATAAGCTCCAAATAATAAAGAAGCATATAAGCTGAATCAACGCTAACCATTTAAAAGATTTTAAAGGAACTTCTCCAGGGCAGCTACAGTGCCACAGGTTGCGGGACCCTATCTCGCCTTGAGCAAGTTCTCGAAGAGCTTCGTCGCAGGCGTGCCCGTCAACACCCTGGCACCTCGAAAAACAGTGCTGCAAACCGCGCGGCCCCGGTATGTTCAACGAGGGTATTCAACGGGGGTCGAACGGACCCGCATGTGTGAGGGTGAAGGACTCCGTCCAACGTCTGGCACGAAGCAAGCAAAATGAGGCAGAAGCTTGGACATCATTCGACCGAGGCCAGTGAAAAGTGTGAAGGTCCAAGATACATTGTTTCATTGTGAATGGGCTAAGGACGGTGATGTTCAGGCTCCGAGTACCGTGTTCATGACCCCTCCCCCAAAGTGTCTAGATCTCGGGTATATCCTATTACCGCGCCCAGTGGATGATGATGGTTAGGTTGCTGGCCGACATCTTTAATCCGACTGTTACAGGCTTCCTGGGACAAACCCGATGTCTAGATCGATTCATGTCGCAGTCCGCCTCTACATGTCTTCAATCTTCAGACCCCGCAGCGATTCAAACAGTGAAAAGCGCCCAAATCCCTGCCAGGCATGCAACACATTTCGAGTGTTCCTTTTCAACCTACCATGTTGAACATGTGCCTAGCTCCTTCAACACCCCCCAAAAAAATATATATATAGAATCAAACAAGTTGTTCTTCCAAAAAGGGCCACCTTCAAGGCCAAAACCCCCCCCAGCCACTAGCTCAGCCTCGGCTTCGATCCCGACCCTCAAAGCTCACCGTTTCGCAGGGGTCCTCGGCTCTCGGCGTTTCCCGGCGGGGGTGTAGTGTGGTGTGGTGTGGTGTGGTGAAGGAATGCTTTTAGGGGCATGAACCCAAAAGGAGGCTCATGGACGGCGTATGATGAGGACATCCATGCCAAATGGGTCACTCACCTGAACTGAACACAAAACATTCGGGTGACTCTTTTGGGAAGGGACCCATCCCTTTCGACGGATTAGGCAGTCCCTCAAGGTTGGTCCGCATCAGATGGACACTGCTGACACGCTCGGTGCTACGCTAATGGATGATTGATGTTACCCATGTCCCTGCTGAGCAGTGAGCATGCCCAGAATCGATCCAAAGCAATCTTTACCCATTCTGGACTGCGCTTGTGGAAGGTCTCCTTGAAACCTTAACTTGAATCGCGAACCCTCAGATGATGACTGACTGGTCTCCCTTGACTGCCAAGTACTTTGTGCATGCGGAAGCAGCGCCACGCAACGGAAAGAAAAACAACAGGTGGTGGGTGTCAAAAAGGAAGCCCCAGCGCCCCCCAGCACCCCTCAGCGAGTGCCGGGACTCCATTTCCAGCATGCCCCGCAGCAGGCGCAGCAAGGCTTGCAGTCGCGGGAAGGTCAGGGAAGCATTGAAGCGCCGCAGCAGATGTTTCCAGAGTTGAGGAAAGGCTGCGAAGCACGTGCAGTAGAGGTAGAGGCACCTGCCGCGGCATGTCCAGTCGAAGGGTTTGGGGTGGCATTGTGAAACCCTCGCGCGGCTGGTGGTCACCTTCAGCTACAAGCTAGCCTGACACAGCCTGAGCCTCTGGGACTCTAAAGCAGCGGCCTGGTCCGCTAGGCTTATTATTATGTCCAGTCAGTAAGGTGGTTGAAAGAATGACTCTCTCTTCAGGCACGTGCCTCTCACTGAAGACTCCAGACTTCGAGTTCAGCCCAACAACGAGTGCCCCTGCTCACAGGCAAAACTCTAACAGTGAGTACAGACTTTGTAGCTCTGGCACTTCTTACCGGGTTACCGGCTACAAAAAAATCTACATGCGTGCTGAAGGGAATGGGCTGCGGGAGTGCGCTTCCAAAACTGCTCAACACATCTCCTATGATCTCCTCATGCTGAATGGAAGATCTGAGTATTCGAGAAAGGACTTCTCCTTTCTAAGAACGATCTCTTGCCAGGTCAGTGGTTCCTTCCTCGTTGTTCCGGTCCCACCCAGGTCCCACGTTCGTTCGACCACCACACGTCTCACCTTCCGGCCGCGGAGGAGACGCGGACCGACTCCAAACCTGGGGTCCCGACGCCGCCGGGCGCGACGCGAGTGCCGAGTCCAACCGGAACGAGCCGGACGGGGAGTCCAACGGGACCGGACGCCACGCGTCTCAACAAGACCCGAAAAGGGCCCTTCTGCAGTGTGAACCTGGGAACCAACCTGGAACACCTTGTTCGTGTGTAGTTCTCCCCCAGCTGAGACTGGTGAGAGATCGGTGTCGGGGTGTTGCGGCCCGGTTCGGTGCCAAGGCCGAAAGACGGTTGGACAATCCTTACTCATACTCCTACTTGACGAGCGATGCAATGTGGAGGCCATTTCGCAACCAGTTCAAGTGATCCACAAACTTCATGTCATTTTCTCCACCAACTTGATTCATCCTCACCACACACGGACAAAACAACACGCAAGGAAACCACCATGCCCCATGTGCAAGGACAAGGTCACAGCATCCACCAACAAGAGACATGTTAAGAACGACTACAAATCCCACAATGATAGGGGGTACAGTAGATCATGCTATGAACCCAAAGAAGACCTTGCAAGCCTAATCCTACATGGTCCGTGGTCAATGCGGCCTCACTGACTTGGTTCACCACTAACCGGGTCATTGCTCAACATTCTCCGTTTCGAGAGATGCTGCACATCGTCCACTTCGACCGTCAGACCATTGGTCACAATCAGCATTCTTTCTGTTCCTGTTGTTCACCACCTTTCTCGGCAGTGGCCATCTCTACTCTTACTCAGCTCAAGCACGACACCAACTGTCTGTCACCTGCCGTACCACCGAGAACTCGTACCACCCATGGCCCATACCGTCCGAAGCACCGGTCTCCACGAGGCCCTCCATCAACTTGGCCTCGTGGTCCTCCACTTTTGACGCCGGCGGTAAAGAGGTGGAGAGGTCGGACCGAAGTCCCGTTGCGAAGCCGGGTCCGATGTGAACACTGAAAACCTGCCCGCCTGGCCATGGCCCACAAGCCAGGACTGCAGCCCTTTCGGATTGTCTCTCAAACATCAAAGATTAGGAGAGAGTATGTGGGAAGTGGTGAGTCTATGACAGTTTTGCACATGTTTGCACTGTTCCTGGATGAGGGGAGCAACCCACCCACCCCACCTGCAGCTGCTGAAGCTCTTCCACATCTGGGACGACCTGTCCATGGTCCTTGGACGGCGCGGTCCCCCAACGAAGAGCTCTGAAGAAATGGATCTCTAGAAAGCGACCAGGTGGACATAGTGGCATAGCAAAGAAGTCCATATTCCTGCTTGACTGGGCTTCCCTTTAGACCGACTCGGTTTAACAGAAGCACCAGCTCGGTGTAATGCCCATAGAGACGAAATGGCGATCTCTACACCATCCCGCGGCCAGAGACACTTGTGAACTTCTCTCTTCTACCCTGCTCAAAAGCAGGTCAACCAAAGCCTCCAAAGACCAGTATATAATTGCCACCACACAACCCCCCAAGCACTCCCAAAACAGCCAAACCCCCCACCTTCTTCAAGAACTTCTCGAAGGCCAACAGCGAGGCTGGCCGGTCCCCACAGCTCTCCCAGCGTCCGGGGAGCAAATCTTGCCACATGGCCGTTTTGCCAAAAGGAGGAACTGGCGAACACCCCGAAGCAGGGTAGCTCTCCGGACAAATGCCGAGATCCTATTGGGATGGGTTTCTATTGTGTTGATCCGTTGTATGTTGGGGAGTTCGTGATGGATGAAGTTGTCCAAGCTGGGGTTTGCCCCCGGCCGGGGCACACCCCTCTTGCTGTGAGCCAACCACAAGAAGAAGATTGACTCAGGAAATCTCAGGAAACGCTACTTCGAGAAAGGACATCCCAATGGATGTCCGCCTGCCACTCAACGGCATTCAAGAGTCGCTACATGTTTGTTGAAAACCTCGGCAATTCTCTTTCGCTAATCCACCCGAATTTGCTCCTGAACGACCTGGTAGCACCTGCCTGACACAGTGATGAGACTCATTATGACACCTTCACCTGTCTGTGTACAATGTCGAGCGTGTGGAGTCACTGAAAAGCAACCTCCCATTAAAGGTTGCTGCTGTGTTAGACTTCAAGAATAGAGCTCAAAGGGCTCCTCAAGAACCTATCTTGCCACACGACCAGAAGCTGGCTGTCTCCCGCTCTAGTTTTGCCCGTGGTGCTAGTCTGCCGGGTGACCCGTCCCATCTCTCCGTTCAGGGAATGGTCGGACTGTCCACTCCATCGCTCATCACCGTACCCCAGAAGGCGACAGCGCATGCAAACGGACGAAAAAGACTGACCCCAGAAGGTCGTTTGGCCTATGAATACCCATCACAAGTAGTAACGTCCCTGAGATGCCCAGGCCCATTCCACTCAAGCAACTCAACAACATGCGTTTCCAAAAAAGAAAGCAGTGCAGGTGCGCGACTAGGCTCTCTTTGAACAAAATGGCTGCAGCTTTGAACTCATTCTTCCTGAAGCTCACTAAGCCAAGCCGTTCCAAAGTCACTGCAACACAGCGGCCAGCCTCGCTGCCACCACAAAAACGCTCCATGGCTAGGCTCTCTTTGAAGAAAGTCTCTGCAGCTTCCAACTTATTCTGTTTCAAACTCACATTGCCAAGCTCATGCAAAGTCAACGCCACTGAGTGGCTAGGCTTGCTGCCAGCACAAGAACGCTCCATGGCTAG